AAATGTCCATATTACCCAAAGCATTATACAGATTCAATGCAATCTTTCTTAATGTACCAATAGCATTTTTCTCAGAAGTAAAACAAATAATCCTAAAATTTGTATGGAACCACAAAAACAAACAAACAAACAAACAAACAAATCTGAATAGCCAAAACAATCTTAAAAAAGAACAAAGCAGGAAGTATCACACTCCCAGATTTCAAATTATACTACAAAACTATAGTAATCAAAAAAGTATGGTACTGGCACTAAAATAAACACATAGATCAGTGGAACAATAGAGAGCCCAAAAATAAATCCACACTTCTTTTTTAAAAAAAGATTTTATTTATTTATTTGAGAAAGAGTGAGCATGACCAGGAGGGACAGATGGGGGAGAAGTGGACTCCCCACTGAGCAGGGAGCCACATGTGGGGCTCAATCCCAGAACCCTGAGATCATGACCTGAGCTGAAGGCAGATACTTAACTGAGCCACCCAGGGACCCCTAAACCCACACTTCTATGGTTAATTAACCTATGACAAAGCTAGGCAAGAATATACAATGGGGAAAAGACAGTCTTTCTAATAAGTGGTGTTGGGTAAACTGGATAGTTACATGGAAAAGACTAAACTCGACTACTTTATTAACCCATATACAAAAAATAAACTTAAAATAAAGACCTAAATGTAAGACCTGAAACCATAAAACTCCTAAAACAAGTGGTAAACTCTTGGATATCAGTTTTAGCAACATTTTTTTAGATCTATCTCCCCAGGCAAAGGCAACAAAAGCAAAAATAAACTGTTAGGACTATATGAACAGCACAGCAAAGAAAACCATCAACAAAATGTAAAGGCAAACTACTGAATGGGAGAAGATATCTGCAAATGATATATCCAGTAAGGGGTTAATGTCCAAAATACATAAAGAATTCATACAATTTAAAAAATCAAATTAAAAAATGGGCAGAAGACCTAAGTAGACATTTTTCCAAAGAAGACCTACAGACGGCCAACAGACACATGAAAACATGCTCAACATCACTAATCATCAGGGAAATGAAATGCAAATCAAAACCAAAATGAGGTATCATCTCACACCTGTCAGTATGGCTATTACCAAACAGACAAAAAATAACAAGTGTTGGCTTGAATGTGGAGAAAAAGTAACCCTCATGCACTATTGATAGGAATATAAATTTGTGCAGCTACTGTGAATAACAGTTCAGAAGTATCTTCAAAAATTAAAAATAGAAATACCATATAGGGGCGCCTGGGTGGCTCAGTCGGTTAAGCGACTGCCTTCGGCTCAGGTCATGATCCTGGAGTCCCGGGATCGAGTCCCACATCGGGCTCCCTGCTCAGCAGGGAGTCTGCTTCTCCCTCTGACCCTCCTCCCTCTCGTGCTCTCTGTCTCTCATTCTCTCTCACAAATAAATAAATAAAATCTTTAAAAAAAAAAAAAAAAAAGAAATACCATATATATGATCCAGCAATTCCATGTCTGGGTATTTATCCAAAGAAAATGCAAACAGTAATATGCACTCCTATGTTTACTGCGCATTATTTACAATAGGCAAGATACAGAAGCAACCTAAGTATCCATCAATAGATGAACAGATAAAGAAGGTTTGGCACACACACACACACACACACACACAAACACACAATGGACTATTACTTGGGCCATAAAAAGAATGAAATCTTGCCATTTGCAACAACATGGATGGACCTAGAGGGTATTAGTGAGATAAATCAGATGGAGAAAGATAAATACCATACAATTTCACTTAAAAGTGGAATCTAAAAAACAAAACAAATGAATAAACTTAACAGAAACAGACTCACAAATACAGGGAACAAACTGATGGTTGCCAGATGGGAGGAGGGATGGATTGGATGGGGAGAACAGATGAAGGGGTTTATGCAGTATGAACTACCATTTATAAAATACGTAAGTCATGAGGATATAAAGTATAGGATTAGGAATATAGTCAGTAATGTTGTAATAACTTTGTATGGTAACAGATAACTGCCCTTTTTGTGGTGGGCATTTTGTAATGTATATAAATGTCAAGTCGCTATATTGTACACTTGAAACTAAAAACAATACTGTATATATCGACTATACTTCAGTTGTAAGAAGTAAGTTAAAGAAAATATATGGACCAGATTTGGGCTTATATAAACTGGGGAAGCAAATACCAAGCAAATGGAACCACCAATATGAGCAAAAACACAGAGCTGTAAAAGGGCTTCATTTTGTTGTGGGCAGGTTGTCCATCCTACCACACACGTGGTCAGAAGCATGGGAGAAGGGAAGAATAAGGGATGATGCTGGAATAGGACTTTGCCCTTCTCCACAGTTTGGACTTTATTCTGTAGGTGGAAGGGAACCATTGAAGGCTTTTGAAAGCATGACATAATCAAATCTGATTTAGAAAGAATTCTCTTGCAGTACCAGTATTTAGGATATAATGAGGGAGAAAGCCAGAATTTGGTCGAGTTGAGAAGCTACTATCCATTATTCCTATATAAAAAGGTTGTTGGGAGAATCAAATCAAATAAGATCATTTCTGCATTAGACTCCTGACTGCAAAAATAGGCATTCACTTAAGTTTACTTATATGATGAGAGCTTTATTATAAGGCTGAAAGTAAATATAAGGAAAAGAGAGAGCTTGTGGCCAGGCCTGGAAGAAAATTATAGAAAATCTCAGCCCCATAAATGAAATTGAATGAATTATGGCAGTTTTGAGGGAAAGTCTGTTCTGTTGTACCTTTATAGCCCAGTCTGTGAATCTGTTTTGTCTAATTTTAAGGCTTAGCTAGTCTCCATTTTTGTCCTCACTACCAACTGTCCAGCCTTCTCTATCTCGCCTTCAATTTGAGAAAATCTGATTAGGTCTGTTAAATGTCATTATCCCTATAGTTTCACGCTGGCCAGACTTAAGACTGCCTGCCTGGGTTCAAGGAGAGGGGGTCCCGTAGCACAGGCGACTGCTGTAAAAGCATTCTTCCCCAGATAAGCATGGCCTGGACTATTCCTGGCTTTAGAATATATGACATTTTGCAAACTCCTTTGAAAATGCAAATGTTATACAAATAATGCAATATATGTTAAGAAAAAAAAAAAGAAGAAGAAGGTAGCAGGAGGGGAAGAATGAAGGGGGGGAAATCGGAGGGGGAGATGAACCATGAGAGACGATGGACTCTGAAAAACAAACTGAGGGTTCTAGAGGGGAGGGGGGTGGGAGGATGGGTTAGCCTGGTGATGGCTATTGAGGAGGGCACATTCTGCATGGAGCACTGGGTGTTATGCACAAACAATGAATCATGGAACACTTCATCTAAAACTAATGATGTAATGTATGGGGATTAACATAAGAATAAAAAAAAGAAAAAAATGCAAATGTTATAAATGAAAGTTTTCTTTAAGAATGGACTGAGAATATCTAAGCATTGATTTCTGTAAAATGGTAACAGTAAAACATCTCTCAGAATTAAATGAGAACCTATATAAAGTGTATAGCACAGGGCCTCTTACAAAGTAAATGCTCAGTAAGTGTTGTTAATGACAATGATATTAAGTAAAGGAATATTTGGGGGGCAATACAAAAAAAAGAAGACAGCAACTATGAAAATATTCCAGACAAGTGACAGGGCTTAATGTAAAATGATGGGAATGGGAAGGAAACAACGTGGATGTGTGGGGTGAGATGCTGCTATTTAAGGGACTCTCAAATTTTAAGACTGAGAAACTGAGTGATACTATTAAATATTAGACACTGAACAGGTTTCAGGGAAGGTTTTGGGCTCATTTCAGGTGCTTTGATTTTGAGTGCCAGTAGAGGTCTATGTAGAAATATTCAGAAAAGAGTAAGAATCCAAGTCTGAAAGCTTGGAGTGAGGTCAGGACTGGAAGTATACACTTGGGTGTCCTCTCAGTAGTTTGACTGTAGCAGAAGTAGCAATTAGGATGCGTGCAAATCAAACCAACCTATGAATGTGTTTTATTTCACCTGCATAAGGGTTTTTGTTTTTGTTTTTTGAAGAAACTACTTGGCAAAGTTTTAAAATTGGGAGATCTTACATAAAATCTGGGTTTCTAGTTTATGAGAGGCCCAGCAACATTTTGGACCAAGATTCCTTCATGACAATATCAGAGCCTCCCCACGGTCTACATCACTCATTTACTTATGTGGTCTCTGTAAGCATTTGAATTTGAAATCCCTGCTCTTACATCCTCACCAACATTAGAAATTTCTCTATAGCTCCTAATTAGTTAATAGATACACAATGGTACCAAAAAGTTTTATTTTGCTTGCTTTCAATTTTTAGCAGGGCTAACACTATTTCCATATGATAATCTACTGTCTGTAGTCCTCATGATTAAATTAATATAGTCTTCTTTAGCTATTTATTGAGAGAAGTCCTAATAGTAAAAATCCACATTTCTAATCCGTGATCTTAGAGGTTTGTATGGTAGGCTTTTTATCAATTATACATATAGATCTTTCATTTGGATAAGATTAGCACTTACTTTCAAAACAAAATTGTATGTACTAAGAAGCCCAACATTGCCTAAGTAATCCTAGTATTTCCTTAAATGCATTTTTCTTTTTTTCTTAGAGAATGGTTTTGTGTGATTTTCTTTTATCTCCTTAGGAGAGACTTGATAATTTTTCCATCAGGAAAGCAATTGGCAGAGTTGTATGGCTAAAAGTTAGTATACCTTTTTGGCAAAACAAGACCAACATTAAGACATAGAATAAGTTCTGAATTTAAAATACTAAAATTGGGATATTAGAGCTGAAAAAGACCTTAGATATTACCTCTTTTTATGGAGGAGAAAAATTGAGTCAAAAAGTGTAAGTAACTTATCCAACTTCACATAGCTATTTATACCAAAAGGAAAATGCTCTCATAAAAAAAAAAAATTATATCACAGCATAAAGTAGATAACTTCTACACTCATTTCCTAGTTGTCTTGACAATGTATTTTCTTTGCTTATAGTGTCAAGTACTTGTCCCTGGTGGCACTTGCCTTCATAATTCGTCCCACAGCTATCATTCCATGGATACCTTTGGTCTTCAGACATTTCTGGCAAGAACAGAAAAAGCTTGATCTTATTCTGCATCAGTTTTTACCTATAGGGTAAGTATGGCTACAATCCATCTATTAAGGTCCATAACCTATAAATTACAGATTGTGAACAAGATTTTACATCTCATAGTCAATTATTATATCTTCTAATGTCAATGAGAATTATCAGACTAAGGAAACAATATTTCCAAATTTATATTTTGTATTTTTATATTTATGATTATTAACTACAATTATTTTAATTTGCATAAGGGGATCTTTGGAACTTTTCTCACTTAGAACTTTTCTATACTTCATTTCCTATTTCTCAAGTACATTTTAGAGATCCTTGATTCTTTTACATTTGTATAAGGCTTTGTAATTTATAATGTGTATTTATATATTACCTCATGACTTTCACAATTCTTGGATCTAGACAATGTAGGTATTTTTAGTTTGTAGTAAGGAAAGGGGTGTGTGGGCGAGGACAGCTCAGTGAAATTAAACATGCGTTAGCCAGAGTCACTGGGTTGGTTGCTGTGATGGAACTGGTATTGAAACCCATGTCTTCTGTGCTCAATTCAATAGCATATATACTAAAATTGGGACAATACAAAAATTAGCATGGCCCCTGTGCAAAAAAACAAAACCAAAACAAAACAAAAGCCCATGTCTTCTAATTTTGAGCTCCTAGGATCATACTTATCCCAAGTATCTAGTAGAGTATCCAAAACAGTTATTTATTGAAGGGCTGAATGCATTCTGATTCTTAGAACAGTAATCTTTTTAATATACTAGTATTCACTCTGTATGAGTATTTTTGGGTAGGAATTAAAAAGGGCTAAATCATCTTCTGCCAAGTTGCCACTGATGTCATTTCTCAGATTTATTAACATTATCTTTAATGTATTATTCATTCAGCAAATACTTGTTTAATCCTAGTATGTGCCAGGTACTGTTCCAGATGCTGGAGATACAGCAACTTAACAAAGTCCCTGCCTTCATGAAGTTTATATTCTAGTGGGAGAAGACAGAAAACTAAAAACATAGGAGTAGTATCTATCTGTCAAGTGATAAATGCTATAGGGAAAAATGAGAGATAAGGATAGAATTTTTATAGGGTAACTAGGGAAGACTGTCATGATAAGGTAACATTGGAGCCAAAACCTAAAGGAATTGAGACAATAAGGAAAGAATATTCCAGGCAAAGAGACCAGCAAGTGCAAAGACCTTGACATAAAGGTGTATTTGGCATATTCAAGGAACAGCAAGGAGACTGGTATGGCTAAAGGAGAGTGAACTTGGGAGAATATGATAATGAGGTCAGAGAGACAGCAAGGGCTCAGATTATGTAGGCTTTTACACAGGGAGATAAAAAGCCTTTTTTTTCATTGCAATACAATGTATAGTTTATTCATTCAACAAGCATTTAGCCTGCTTTGTTTCAAGCATTTGATGATTCAGAAGTGAGTAAGATGCAGTGTCTATTCCCGAGGTCAAAATCGGGGGGGGGGGGAGGGGGAGAGATATAACAGTAATTCTTGATCAGCAATATACAGTGTTCTAAGTAGTTATATAACAAAATGTTGCAGAACAGATAATAAAAAAGCCTAATTCTGCTTGCAGGGGTTTATAAAGTAGATGATGTTTTAAATAATATCAAAAATGAACATGAGTTTGCCAGACCTAGGGAATCAGCTGCTTCAAGCTATAAAGGCCTGGGAAGGAGCCTATTCATATAAATCAAAATGCTTGTCTTGTTTATTTTGAAGGGAAATATACAAAAGAACAAATGAGATAATGTATGTGAAAATACTTTGAAATAGTACAGTGCATAACAAATATGATTCACAGTCCTAATTAGTCTTACACTCTCAAGTGTTGGTATACTGAGTTGGCCCCAGCACCCTTTAAAAATAACCAGTTGCAGGCACCTGTGGCTCATTGGTAGAGCATGCAACTTGATCTCAGGGTCGTGAGTTCAAGCTTCATGTTGGGGGTAGAGTTTATTTTAAAAAAACACAAAATTCATCTATCACCCCACTTTACATATGAGGCATTGGAGGCTCAGAGAAGGAAATGATACCTTTAAGGTCTTTGGGCTGGTTAGGGTCAGAACTGGGACTGGAACACCAAACCTCTAGCACCTAGGGCTATTTATTTAAAAAGAAAGAAAAGAAAAAAAAAAAATTAAAACAGTAGCATATCCAGACAGGAAAAGTATCTCTAAATATAGAGAAAAACCTTGCGTTAGTCTTAGGAAAGTTTCTAATATGTATGGACCTACTTCTCTTTGCCTTTTACATGACTTTGAGAATTTGGGACATCATTTTGTCATTCATTCTGTAAAATCAAACATAATTCAGTTGCCTTTCAGCTGCCACATTTTCACCAACAATTAGCAAGACAAAACAAAGTACGGGACATCATTATAGATATTACAGGCATTAAGAAGATAAGAGGAGGATATTATAGGGGCGCCTGGGTGGCTCAGTCGTTAAGCGTCTGCCTTCGGCTCCGGTCATGATCCCAGGGTCCTGGGATCGAGCCCCGCATCGGGCTCCCTGCTCCGCGGGAAGCCTGCTTCTCCCTCTCCCACTCCCCCTGCTTGTGTTCCCTCTCTCGCTCTCTCTCTCTGTCAAATAAATAAATAAAATCTTAAAAAAAAAAAAAAGAAGAGGGTATTATGGACAACTTTTGCTAATAAATTTGACAACTTAAATGAAATGGACAAATTCCTAGAAAAATACAACTTACCAAAACTGACAAAAGAGGAGATAGTAAATATGAATAGTACTATATATATTAAAGTTAATTTGTAATTAAGGACTTTAAACAAAGAAACACCAGGCTCAGACGGCTTCACTGGTGAATGCTACCATATGTTTAAGGAAGAAGAAACATCAATCCACATAAACTTTTCCACAGAATAGAAAAAGAATAACATTTCCCAACTCTTGTAATGAAGATACCATACCCTTGATCCCAAAATCTGACAAGGATGTTACAAGAAAAGTCAATTATAAATCAGTATCTCTCATGACTATGAATGCAAAATTCTTAAACAGATCTTACCAAATTGAATCTAGCAATATATTAAAAAAGAGTGGGGTGCCTGGGTGGCTCAGTTGATTAAGCATCTGACTCTTGGTTTCAGCTTGGGTCATGATCTCAGGGTCATGAGATCGGCCCCGTGCTGGGTGTGGAGCCTGCTTGTGATTCTCTCCCTTTCCCTCTGCCCCTCCCTTCCCCGCTACTTGCGCACACGCTCTCTCTCTCTCTAAAAAAAAAAAAAGTATACATCATAACCAAGATTGGTTTTAGTTCAGGAATGTGAAGTAGGCTTAGTATTTTAAAATCAATCAGTATGATTCATGACATTAACAGAATAAAGGAGAAAATTCATAGGACAATCTTAATAGACACAGAAAAGCCACATGATAAAATTAAAAACCTACTCATGATGGGAGAGGAGGGAACAACCATTAGAAAATGTGTAATAGAAGGGGACTTCACTAATACGACAAAGATTTCTATAAAATGTTATAGCAAAATCATACTAAGTATTGAAGCACTGAAATCCTTTTCCCTGTGATCACAGAAGATACATGGATGCTCATTATTTCCCCTGCTGTTTAACAGTATATGTCCTAGCTAGTGCAGTAAGGCAGGAAAAACAAATGGTTGGAAAGGAAGAAAGAAAACTATGTGATTGTATGTAGAAAATCCAAAAGAATCTAGAGGTAAACTATTAGGGTTAGTAAATAAATTCAGCATGTTCACTAAATACGAGGTGAATATACAAATACGGATTTCATTTGGATACTAAAACTAGTGCGTAAAAGTTTGAGGAATAACAGGATATTTATATAGTCTCAAAGTGTCTCCCCATAAAATATTTATTAATTACAAGAATAAAATAATTTACAGTGGAAAAGTTAAGGGGTGCCTGGCTGGCTCAGTTGGCAGAGCATGCAACTCTCGATCTCAGTGTTGTGGGTTCAAACCCCACATCGGGTAAAGAGATTACTTAAAAATAAAATCTTTTATGGGCGCCTGGGTGGCTCAGTTGGTTAAGCGACTGCCTTCGGCTCAGGTCATGATCCTGGAGTCCTGGGATCGAGTCCCGCATCGGGCTCCCTGCTTGGCAGGGAGCCTGCTTCTCCCTCTGACCCTCCCCCCTCTCATGTGCTCTCTGTCTCTCTCATTCTCTCTGTCTCAAATAAATAAATAAAATCTTTAAAAAAATAAATAAATAAATAAAATCTTTTAAAAATAAATAATAATAAAAAAAAGGGATCAAAGTTAACATTGCCAGTAATTGGACAGATCACTATCATGAGACACCAGATCAAAAGCAGAGAAAACACCCTGTCTTTTCTATGGTATTACTGCCATAATGCATAACCTGAATCTATTCATGAAAAAACATCAGACAAACCCAAATTGAGGTACATTCTAGAAAATAACTGACCTGTATTCTTCAAAGATGCCAGTCATGAATGACAAGGAAAGATTAAGGAAATATTCTAGATTAAAGGAGACACAGATAGAACAAGTTGAACACAACAAATAATCAGGGTTTTTTTTTTTTCTTTGTATAAAGGATATTGGGACAATTGGTAAAATCTGAACAAGGTGTAAATTAGATAGCCATAAAAATTTAGTATTTCATGGTTCTGATTATTTGTGATTTATGTAAGAGAATTTTGTTTTTAGGAAATACCCACTGAAGTATAGGGATAAAGGTGAATGATGTCTGCAACTTATTAAACAGTTCAGAAAAAAATACAAATTTAAAGAGAAAGAAAAAGATAAAGCAAATATGGTAAAATGTTAACATTTGGGGAATCTAGGGGAAGGATTTATGGCAATTCTTTATAGTATTCTTGCAACTTTTCTCAGTCAGAGATTATGTCAAAATAAAAAATTAAAAGGAAAACAGAAATACCATTTATGGTGGCAACAAAAAACATCAGATGTCTATGAATAAAATAATGAAAGATATACAAGAACTCTACACAGGAAGCTATAAAACATTATTGGAAGAAACTAATGAAGACCTAAATAAATGGAAGAGTATATCACGTTCATGGATGAAAGATTCAATATTTTAGAGATATCAACTCTCCCCAAACTGTGATCTGTATATTCAGTGCAGTTCCAATTAAAGCCCAGTACGGGGCGTGTATGTGTATGAACTGATAAAGCTGATTTTAAATTTTTAAGTGGAATGCAAAATACCAATATTATCTAAAAGAATCATAGAGAAAGAAATGTTGGATGACTTACACTACTAGATATTAAGACTTACTACAAAGTTACAGTAATTAAAACAACTCAGAATCAGTGCAAGGTAAAACAAATAGACTGGTGGGACACATCAGTCCAGCAAGTCACTCATTTATGATAACAGTGATAAGGCACTATAGTAGAGAAAGGATAGTCTTTTCAATAAATATATAATTATCTGGATATCCATATGGGAGAAAAATTAATATTGATCCCTACTTGCCACCATAAACAAAAAAATAAATAAAAATCCAGGGAATTATAGATCTTAATGTAAAGGTAAAAGAGTTGCACTTCTTCAAGATATGATAGAATATCTTCATGACCTTGAGGCAGGCAAAGCTTTCTTAAATAAAATGTAGTAAGTATTAACTCTAAAGGAAAGATAAATACATTTGAATACATTAAAAGTCAAGACTTCTTTTCATCAGATTCACCATTAAGAGTGAAAAAGCAAGCCACAGACCAGAAGATATTTGCAGTACAAAACACAACACCAAGAAAAACCATCTATCAATTATATACAGAACTTGTACAAATCTGTAAGAAAAAGATAATAGAAAATTGATTAAAAGACCTGAACAGGTACTTCAAAAGATATTTAAGTGGCCAAGTAGTATAAAGATAGTCACCTCATAGTCACCAAGGAAATGTAAATTAAAACCACCATGACATTCTAGTATACATCTACCCAAATGCCTGAAAGGATATAGAGCCTTTATATATTCCTGTGGGAATATAAATTGATACAACCACTTTGGAAAACAGAAGAATTTACTAAAGCTGATTGCACTTACACCCTGGGGCCCAGTAATTCAATCCTAGGTATATACTCAGCAGAAATGTATATACATATATATGGGAAACAAAAGGCACATAAAAGAATGTTCATAGCACTCTTCTTAATAGCTTAAAAAAAAAAGGAAAGCAGTGTCCATCAACAGAATAAATACACTGTGGCATATTAATTCAGTGGAATACAATATAGTATTATAAATGAACTACTGCAATATACAAAAAATGTGGTTAAGTCTCACAAGCATGATTGAAGGAAACTGTACATGAGTACTACAGTGTGATTTCATTTTTTTTAAATTCAGTAAAAGGCAAAACATCTACCCTATCAGAAGTCAGGATAATGGTCACCTTTAGGAAGGGAGTGGAGATTGGTTGGAAAGAGAGAAGAGCTTTTTGAAGTGCTGCTAACGCTCTGTAATAAAAGGACTGTGGCATCCATGTTAGATGCCCATCTTACTCTCTCTCTGCTGACCTACCCTGGGGGATGCCAGTCTCCATGTCAGGAGGTCATCTTTTAAAAAAAAAAAAAGTCTCATTTGGGAGATTGAGCCCTGCCAACAGTCGTGTTGAGTGAGCTTGGAAGCAGATTTCCCCACCAGCACCAGTCAGCCTTCAGATGAAACTCTAGCCCCAGGCAACATTTTGACAGTTCATGAGGGGCTTTGACCCAGAGACACCCAGCTAAGCTCCACTTGGATTACTGACCCACAGAATGATGAGGTAATAAATGTTCATAGTTTTAAGTTGCCAATGTTTAGGGTAATTTGTTGTGCAGCAATAGATAATGCAGTGTTTATTACTTTTAGAAACTTTCCTTAAATACAGCATCTATCAGTGAAAGATCTTTTAACATGTAAATCCATATTCAGTTGGCAAAATTGTAGGTCATTTTTAAAGTGACTTTTGATGCCAAGCATTTGCAAAGCCATATGCCAGTATTGGATTTTCAGTAAGTTCAGAATGTTAATCACCCTTCTGTTTTGTTTTTCAGATTTGTCAATTTGAGTTTGTCTCTTATAATTGATCGTATTTTTTTTGGTCAAGTAAGTAAAAATATATTAAGCTAACAGCTATTTTTAATCTAACCATTTATTACACAACATTTATTACACTAAAAACTCAACCTGACCTATTAATCCTGTGAATATTTGGGAACGCAGGCAAATCACTTTTTAAAAATTTTATGGGATACATTAAAAAAAACTATTGGCATATGCCTTTCATCAATTTGCTGTGTTTTCTATAAAACAGAATTGTATATTCATAGTTGAAGTTAAAAGGAGTCCATTTTATGGCATTTTTGTCAAGTTTGTACAATTTAGTCAGGTTTGTAACAGTGGTTAAATTTTTAAATTTTAATTGACCTCAAGTTAATCATTCAGAATTTCAAATTAATCAGAATACTCTCTTCAGCCATTTGATTTGACATTTTAATGTCATGACTGTTGGTAATGGCCTTTGGTTGTTTTTAAGTTCCCCAATTTTAAGTCACTTAGGGGCTCTGGAATCAGATTGCCAGAATTTCAAACTTAGTACCTTCATTATTAGCTATGTGACCTTGGATAAGTTATGTACCTTTCTTGCCAGTTTCCTTAACTGGAAATAACTGTGGTACCTGTTTCATAAGGTTGAAGGATTAAATGAGATAATGCTTGTAAGCTATGTAAATGCTTACAATAGTGCATGGCAGAAATGAGCACTTACTGTTAACTGCTGTTGTTGCTGTTATTATCTGCTTTGTGTGACCATTCAAAAGGTAATGTTCTCAGAGCTTTATTTTAATGTGTGATATATAAGGTACTAAAGTTTTTAATATGGGTAACACACATACTCATATAAAACCTATTTTTGAGGATCTTCTTTATCTCTGTAAAACTTACATTGTCAAAATACATACGAACATTTATTCATGTTTTCTTGAATTACAGAAACCTAATTTTTTACAGATTAACAGAACACATTAGAACTTAGAACATTAAAATGAATAAAGAATGACTTCATGTGGTTATTAATCAAAATTATTAATATAAAGTACTGTTTGGTTTTTAGACTTCATTCAAGATTCTGCCAAATTCCCTAATGCCAAAGATTCATACTTGGCACTAATACATTTCTATTTCTTCTTCCATCAACTATGCCAGTGGACCCTGGTTCAGTATAACTTCTTGAAATTCAACGTGCTTCAGAATCTGGGAACATTTTATGGTTCTCATCCATGGCACTGGTACTTCAGTCAAGGATTTCCAGCTGTTCTGGGGACTCACTTACCCTTCTTTATTCATGGCTGCTTTCTGGCCCCAAGGAGGTACCGAATACTTTTGGTAACTGTGCTATGGACACTGCTAGTTTATAGGTAAGATTTTATTTGTTCAAATAATTATTTTTTTAATGTTACCAAGAATTTAAATTCTTCAGAAAGTAAACTGTTTATCTTCTGGACATGTATTAACTCTTATGATTTGTTAGTGGGGATTATTTAGCAGACAGAAAAGGTAATAATTATGCTGATGCTCAGAATGAATACTTCTGATATGTATAGTTTGCTTGACAAGGATTACATTCAATTTTTAAGAAGTTGAAAAAATTTTATTTGCTTTTAAAAACTAAAACTACCAAAATTTTAAGTATTGAAGGATGAGAAATTATATTTTTAAATGAAAAAATATATATAATATATATATATAATAAGTGTGTATCTTTATTCCAAATTTGAGTAATATGACTTAATTGGATTGGTAATAGAAATCTTTTTTAGAATGTAGTTGTACTTTAGAATTTCACTTTGACATTAAATATTAGGATTACTTTTAACACATCATCACCTTATAACTAAAAAATAATGAGACTGCATCCTGAAGCATGAAATTCAGTCTCAGTATTTAGAAAAACAGATTGCTATTATATTTCATTTTTAAATATATTTATTTCTCAAACTGTCATGTAATTCTCTTAATATCTTTTTTTTATTATAGCATGTTGAGCCACAAAGAATTCAGGTTTATCTATCCAGTTTTACCATTCTGTATGGTGTTTTGTGGTAAGTATTTTTATTTAATATAGAAAAAGTTGCATTTATATAGAAATAGTTAAGACAATAAATTTTCCTTAAACACTAAAATATTTGTTTTCAACTAAGCTAAATGAGAAATGCTTCTTAATTACAAGTTATAATACTGCAGTATTCCTTTTGCAGCCTAAATATACTTTTTCCTATGTCCTATAATGTGATATAAAAACATAAGGACTTAATATCCAAAGGACCTTTGGGTGGTGGTGTTTCTGGCTAGTAGGAATCTTCCATGCTAAAGTAATGAAATATGTCTATTTTAGAATAGCATTTTAAGTTTATGATTAAACTATGAAATTCTTCATTCCACAAATGAAAAGTATATAGCTGTTGAAACTACTTTTTAATGCTTCTTCATACACATCTAACCCTTTAAGACTCACTCTAATGAATATGCAATTTTTAAAGTGATCCACACCTCTGATTTTATTTTTGGCCTTTTCTCCAATTTTCCACTAGGTCTTTGCAGTAATTTTTTTACATGTGACTTCTACAAAGCCTTATAGTACTCAACTCTGGAAAATGTGAATTTTTACTTTGGTTGGTTTCGAAAAACTATGAACTGCAACTTCATTAACTTCAGGTTTAATCCAGAATAAATGACTTGGCTTCCCTCAAATATTAATCACTAAAAAAAAAATCACTGGACTGGGGAGGGAAGAAATAAGTATATAGCTGAGACTTGGAGGCTGGGAAAAACTAGGGAGTTAAGAATATCAAACTTTTGACTTAAAAAAAAAAAAACCAAACAACTCACTGAGTTAAGCAGCCACCTTTGACCAAGTATACATCATTTCCTATAGATCTCAGATATACTCTCTTGAGATATGAACGTAATTTATATATATAAACACATACATAATTTATATACACAACATACATAATTTTTATATGTATATATACACACAGACATCTAAATATTTGATACATCTGAAGTGTTGAAACCAAAGTTAATTTGAGTCATTATAGTCTCACTTCATATATAGATGCAGGCAAAAAATATAGGCATCTGACAGCTATATGGCAAGTCTTAAGAATAGTGGGCCCATTCACCAGAGCAAATCTGCAAATCTGTTCATAAATCACTATTCAGATTTAAAATTTTTCTTTACAACCACTTGAGTTGGAGTTATAATTAAATCAAGTCTGGTTTCTGCCCAGATGTGTTGCTATACTGGAGGTCAAGTATTTGTGTGTGTTGTTTGGTTAGTTAAGGAGCTTGGTTTTCATTCCATTTTTATAATTTGAGGTTTTCTAGCATTCCACTTCTGTGCTGTGTCTTTACAGAGTGTTTTAGAGGAAGACTGGGTTGTCTGAATCCTCATTCCCAGTCCAAAAGAATGAATCTTTTAAGCGGCAGGTTCTTGGTAACCTGTTTCCAATCTCAAAGATTGAGATAAAATGCCGATGAGGGTTGAAGAGGATCCCCTTCTAATGAACAAGAATCGGCCTTTGTTCCATCCTCTGTCCACTCAGAAGGATCCCTAAAGGACTGGGAACTAACAAATCCCCTCATCGTCTCAGTGGATGTGATCCCTCCTTTGGACACATCTACCTAAGGTCCTTGATTTGGACCTGAAGTTTCCATTCCTAGACTTGTATTCCCACTAAGAGTCAGTAGTGAGCTCACCTGACATTAGTCTTTGGATGTTCAGGAACAATGTCAGACAAGAGTTCTCTTCGGAGTTGTTTTAAATGGCCCACTTTGTGTCTTTTCTAACTACATGAATTATACTGTACCTCAAATCTGTTTTTATTCTTTTATGACCTATCTTAACCTGAGTTTTACATAAACACAACAACGCTATCAGCAATTTCTGTGTAATAGCCACCTTAAAACTCAGTGGCTTAAAACTTGCTACGTCTGTAGTTAGCTGTCACTTCCACCACATTCTTTTGGTCAAAGCAAGTCGCAAAGCCAGGCCAGATTCAAAAGATGAGAAACTTCAGGCTCAGGTAGGGATTGGGCACATGAAGAGGGATAATTGCAGCCATTTTTTCAATCTACAGTAACTTCTCTTGCCTAATTTGAATTTCCCTCAGTTCTATCCAGAATAGGACTGACTCTGGAAAACATACCTTCTGTAATTGGCTCTGATCCTTAGTGAACTGTATAACCTGTGCCTCAGTTTCCTTATCTGTAAAAGAAAGGTGCCATTGGTCTAATAACATTGAAATTTTTAATTGAACGTCTTGTCATTTGTGTTGATGAGGTTTCCAACACCTGCTACTAATTCTAAGTTGGGTATCTGCTTCATCTGCTTTTACCACAGTGGCCAACAGACTTGCTTGTCTCTGTTTCTGCATATGCCAATTGTTTTATCAAAACTGCACATGCATGTTGTTCCAAAAGCCATTCCATAAGTTTGTTTTAAAAAAACAATGGTTCCCAGCCCTCCCTCCCAATTCCCCTCGTCAGAGGCACTTATGCTCTTTCAGGTGGTTATTTTGATAATTTATCTCTTTACATAAAATGCTAATAATGCCCTTAAACATCTGTTTTTGGCATTACTTAGAACTTATATGAAAATAGCTTTACTTCCTTAGCAAAGTAGCAACATAAAATTCTTCCTGATACCTCTGTGCCCAGTATTCTCCTTATTGTTCTTAATAAAGTCTCTTTCCCAGGCCCATTCTCCTGTATGTTCCATCACAGAATTAAACCACCTTTTATTTTTTTCATGTAAACACTGAATTTAAGTTAACTGAACAGCTTTCCCAGAGAAACATCTCTGATTGGTAGAACTTGGTAGAGATCTTTTTCGTGGGCTTTTAGATTGGGTTTTCTATTAAGTCTTGTCAAAACAAGGGTGCATCCTTCCTACCCGTGTTTGATGGGATCAGTAATGAACGGCCCCTTTCTCATCCCCTCCATTCCAATGAACCTTACCTCGGTAAGAAGGAATTCATCAGTCCTTGCAGAACAATAGATTGTAACATGAAGTATCCAGAACATAAAAAGTAACTGTGTGTATCAAGATAAATCATATGACGATTAGGAGATATGGCTGAGTAAAGAAGGAACCAACTCATGCAGGGCCTTATATACTCAAGTTTTCAGATTTTATCCTGGAGAGTAGTCAGCTGGGACATAATGGATTTAAAACTGTAACAGTGGTTTGATGATAGTGATTGGATAAGAACCCAGTGGGTTTATTATAAACTCATGGTTCAAAAAGAAAAAACCCTATAGTGTCATTCTCTAATCATCTAGTTCCATTTCCCAGAGATAAACTATCAGTCTTATAAATTCTTACAACTTCCTTTTTTATGTATCTTTTTGTTGGCATAGATAACAGGAGCAAATTAAAAATTCTGGAATGTTATTTAGCATTGAGTTAAAAGAGTTACTATGGTAGCATGCCCTTATTCACTACTCACTTTCCACAATTTTAGTAACCTGCGCCAACCGCGATCCAGAAGCAGATGATCCCTTTTCTGACCTATCCTCAGGTCAGTAGTAGCCTAACACTACATCACAATGCTAGCCTAACACTACATCACAATGCCTACATCATTTACCATACTTCATATCACATAGGTATTTTACCATATCATATCAGCACAAGGAAGATGGCTACAGTACAGTAAGAAATTTTGTGACCACATTCATATAACTTTTATTACAGTATACTGTTACAATTGTATTTTACTATTAGTTATTATTAATCTCTTGCCATGCCTAATTTGTAAGTTAAACTTCATCATAGGTATGTATAGGAAAAGAGTATAGGGGCGCCTGAGTGGCTCAGTCGTTAAGCGTCTGCCTTCAGCTCAGGTCATAATCCCAGGGTCCTGGGATCGAGCCCCGCATCAGGTTCCCTGCTTGGCGGGAAGCCTGCTTCTCCCTCTCCCGCTCCTCCCTGCTTGTGTTCCTTCTCTTGCTGTCTCTGTCAAATAAATAAAATAAAATATTAAAAAAAAAAAAAAAAGTATAGCGTTCTGTACTACTGGCAGTTTTAGGCATCCCCCAGGGGTCTTGGAATGTATCCCCCACAGAGAAGGGGGGACTACTGTATGTGCAATGAAGGAATGAATTTCGATTCCGACAAGTAGTCACCCGGGTTCATACTAAGTCTTTATTCTCATGGAAATTACATGAGAGGCTGAAAGATTTCCGTAAGTGGTTTACAGAAGAAAGCTTGTGTTCGCAGAATCTTCAGTAATTGGGAGAGGGGTCTCACATTTCAGGTTATATAATGCTTACATTACGTTGTGCTGACTATCCCATTCTGAAGCTAGCTCATTTTAGGGTGGATCCTTTCAGTGAGGACTCCATTATTATTTGTACGTACAGTTACGTAGACTTACTAGACAGCAGCTACTAAGATCTTGTTACCTTTTTTTAAAATACTGAAGAAATCATACTGCTTCCCTGTAAGAAAACTGAATCCTAAGCTTCTCTTGTGGTGCAGACTAGAACTGTAACTGTAATTATTTCCAACTCTCCCTTTAACAACTCCAGTTTCTGAAATCCCCTTGAGAATGTTCAGTGTCAGTCTGAAAACCCTGGGAGTATTCAAATGAAAGTCTGTTCAGCTGTTCCTTCTTTCCTTATCTTCCCAACATTTTCTGTGTATTTTTTTCCCAAATAATAGGGAGATTCATTTCTCTCTGTAAGGATCCATCCTTATATCACAACAAAGACAATATGAAATATAAGCATTAGCTGATTTAAGACTCTCCTCTGTACTAAAGCAGCTGGAAATATAAGCACATTTCCTTCCAACATTTTACCCAAAATGCCATTTTTACAGCATTCACCACCATGCACTCCAGTTTTAGATCAGTCACCATACCATTGTATCCCTAATGCCCGTTTTTTGAAAAGCGTTCAAGGAACATTTAGTGAGTGTACAGACTGTTGATGAGTGAACATTTCACACATGCCCAAGTTACACTTCATTTGATTATTCCTGAGGGCAAGTTGTCTTCTAAAGTGCTTGCCAGGATAGGCTTTAATATAGCTTTTTGCAATCTGAGGCCACTAGGTATATTTGGTTTCTTCTGTCTACCCAAGAAAGCACAGCTTTTAAGCCTGCTGGTCTATTAGTTCTGTGACTGGAATTATTACATATAAGAGAACTTCTGGAATTCTATTTCAATTCTAATAAAGCTAATTCTAGTTCTCAAACTTTCAGTAGTTTCCTCATTTTGCTACTGCAAACATAAATTTAGACATATTTTAAATGTAGGTTTAATTTTCTTGATCTTCCTACATTTTTTATCACACTACTTTTTAGAATGTGTTTTGGCTAATCAGCTATTTCAAGTAGTAGTAAGTGAGAGGGATGTGTGATAGTCCAACTAATGAACAGAATGAACTATAGGTAATGTTATCTAAAACACTTCCTGGAGGAATGAAATTGAGCATATAAGATTTCTTGGCCAGGGACGCCTGGGTGGCTCAGTCAGTTAAGCGTCTGCCTTCGGCTCAGGTCGTGATCCCAGGGTCCTGGGATCGAGTCCCGCATCGGGCTCCCTGCTCCGCGGGGAGCCTGCTTCTCTCTCTGCCTCTCTCTCTCTCTCTCTGTGTCTCATGTATAAATAAATAAAATCTTTAAAAAAAAAAAAATTTAAAAAAATAAATAAATAAATAAAAATAATAATAATAATAAAAAAAAAAGATTTCTTGGCCAAATCTGGTTCAGCTATCAAGTGGCAGGTGTCAGATGTCTTGGAATAGATGAAGCTATTTTATTATTTTCAATAGCTAAATTTTCAATTATTATATATTATTTATATACAATATAATGTATACAATGAAGACAGATAAAAGAGCTGTAAAGGCACCATACCTAGTTAAGATACATTTAAGTGTACAACAAAAGGTATCTTCAGTTTTTCCTAAACTGAATGTTAATACATACTGTCTTTTTAATTTATGACAATGGTAAGCTGAAAGAATGAGTGTCTTCAGTTAATGTGAAGTACTAGATGTGATTCAAGTAAGTTACAGGTCTTAATTTACTCCTGTTTTTGAAACAGTCCCTCCTAGGCCAACTTTATGTTAGTGTCCTTAAACGGGAACAGTTCAAAATTAATTTTATTCATGTTCAGTTATTTTCAGTAATTGAGCCAAGCTAAGACAGCTGATAGCAGTCAATTAGGTGATGATCATGGGAAACAGTGCCTTTGCCCCAGTGGGAATTAGTGCTAAAATTTCAGGCAAGCCACAGACTGGATCCTGGATACTCAAATTCCAAAAGAACAATTATCTAATTCCATGGGGACAGGACATGGGGAGTATGAACAAAATGCCAAGTTCATTAATAAGCTTATTCTTTTCCAGGGCAAAGGGCTGTTTTTTTATGGGTATTTTCGACAGATCCTTATGTGCTCATTATCAGTGGCCACTGCGGGGGAGGAGGACTATAGAAAGGGGGCGGGGGACTTTTACTTTTCATTTACTCTGTTTGTTCTGCTTGTTTTTTTTGCCACACGCAAGAATTACTTTTACAAATTAAAAAAGAAATTGTTCAGCATCTCCAAATTGCCCAACACTGTGGTGAAAGAAAAGACATACTTCTTTCAGAAAAAGATACTCTATGTATGGTGGCATGGGTAACTACTGAAAATCGCTCAGTGGTGTATTTTCCTAAAAGGACACTCTGCCACACTTCCTCCAGAATTATGGAGACTTATATGTACACCATCCATTGCTAGTGCTTGGGAGATTAAAGAGAAGAGACAGACAAATGAACTACTATGTACCAGGACAAGCACTGGATGTAAGTTTTTTCTAACACTTGGAAAAGTTACTGTTATCCCATTTGCAGATGGGGAAAATAATTCTCAGCAAAGTAAAGAAAGCAACCTGTGCCAGAGTTAGAATTCAAATTTGGGTTTGCTGGACTCCCTCGCCATTCTTTTCCCACTATCCTTCAATTCTTTCTAGAAAAAGGTAAAGACCTGAGGACAAGGACAGTGAATGGTTAGAGAAATTATAAAGATACCTATTGCTCATTTCTTGTTTCCCCATGACACCATTTCAGTTTGTGCTACTTCCATTAAAGATTACAAATGTATTTGCAGTTAACATTTCCTTAGCTATCCTAAAACAAGAATGCCAGTATTATGGTTCAACATGTCTGTCTTCCTACAGGGTACTCACTAAACCACCTGAAAACGTGGAAGAAACCAGCTCTCAGTTTCCTGTTTTTATCGAATATGCTCCTTGCCCTCTATACTGGTTTAGTTCATCAACGGGGTACTCTTGATGTCATGACTCATATTCAAGAACTCTGTTACAATAATCCCAATAAATCTCCAGCTTCAGTATTTATAATGATGCCCTGCCACTCTACTCCTTATTATAGGTAATAAAAGTTGTTCCACTATGTGCTATTAAGAAAATGAAACGAACTACTTCAAAATTCCTTTCAGGTTCCTGAGTTTAATTGATAACTGATCAAATGACTAAGAAATCTGAAACTTCTATCCATATATATTCACTGAATTTTAAAAGCTACTTGAAGTATGTCAATAAAAATCATATATCACTTTTAAATAAAATTTTAAAATATGAATGACTTACATTTAAATGATCTGCTTTAAATGTAATATAAAATATTTTAGAGGTTATTTGAAGGTAACCGTATTAAAAGAAATTACCATTGAGCTTACTACAAATCTTTGTAATACATCTTCTATTTTTAAAATTTTTAATTAATCTCAAAACACTAGATTCTACGCCACATTTACTGCTGGACCACTGCCCTGGTCTTAAACCAGTCTTTTTTTAATCTCTATTTATATTAGTTGTTCCACCTATAAAAATTAGGAAATTCAATTAGATGATATTCTAAGCTTGAATTAAGTATTTCTGAGAAATACAACACTAAAACTGCCTTTACTATGCAGGACATTTAAACAGAAATCCATCTGGTCCTCTGCTTCCAATTGCCTAATAACAGTACAAGGTTATGTAAAGCAAACTGCTTTCCTTGAAAAAGTTCTACATCTACTTAACCTGGCTTTAAACAGTCTGAAGTTAATTTTCCATGTGCACATTCAATTAACTGAGTATCAAAGCTGTTATCATTTTAAGATAAGTAGAGTTCTGCAAAAGCGTTAAATTAACTGAATCATTAATGCCAATCATTAATACACAATTTGGAAAGTTGGGACTGCCTAGCAAAAGCCACAGGTTAGATGTCCGACCCAAATACCCCTTCAAATTGAGGTTCACCTACTATATAAAAAAGACTAGAGCTGAGAGCAGGACACTCACTCTCCCTCCATGCTCACATTAGCAGTAACACGGCAGAGAACAGGAATTATAAAGACTTCAAGATGCTTTCCGTACATGGTTGTATAGCTGATGTCTCAGGCTTTGAGTAGTTCATCAAGTTCTCATCTTACATTTTTCAAACTGCACAATGGAGCAAAAAATATCTATAATGCCTACTTTGGAGTAGAAAGCTTACAGCTGTTTTCTCAGCTTTGTTTTGGTTTTCTCCCTGAAGCAAGACCTTCCTCTCCTAAATTATACAAGTCGTCAAGTGTAGGTCTTGTGTAAATTTACTTTGTATGCAGTTCATAGATAACATAAACCTCTATCACATGTTTATTTTTCCTTAGGCAGTTATAAACATGGCTTTTGCCGGGCCCAAGTAACTGGCTTAAGTTGTCATAATTCATCAATCCATCTTTTTTACTGCAGTCTAGTCTTTCTATGCCACAATAAAACCATTACTTACTTGGATTTGAATCAGTGAACATATGCTGCTCTCTATCACCCAATCTATTTATATAAATATAGAACAACAACAACAACAAAACCCATACAGGAACCACCTTTCAAAGATGTGATCCATCCCCTTTCAGAGCAGAAAGGGAAGAAAGCAAGAATCCTTTTCTCTGGTTCATGAAGTTTTCTACCTTGCCAATTAAGCCTATGGATAATTATTCTCTTAATAAGTCACCCACTTCAGGCCTTTCCTGGAAAAGCATACTAAGGTTGGAGAATATGGGGTCTCCCACGCTGCTGACTTTCTATCCCATCTTGAAATGGAGTTTCATGCATTAGTTTGGACTTGAAGGCTGCTGCGCAGGCACGTGGTCTAAGAATCCTACTGTACATCTCTGAGAAAACTACATTAAAGGCTTGCTTCTTAACCTTAATGGGACCCAGTTTAGATTCAGACTTCACATTTTGTTATGTGAACATGATAAATCTTGAGAGTAATTGGAAAACTTTCACCTTTTTAACTTCATGTAACTATAATGGTAACTTTCTCTTTACAGCCATGTCCACTACCCACTTCCAATGAGATTTCTCCAATGTCCCCCAGACCTGACTGGAAAAAGCCAGTACCTTGATGAAGCAGATATATTCTATCTGAATCCCTTAAACTGGCTAGATAAAGAGTTTCACAGTGATTCAACATTGCCTACTCACTTGATCATCTTCAGCATTTTAGAGGAGGTAAGGAAACATGAAAAAGGGGAAAACTCACTATTTCACCTCCGGTTTAGCACTCAGGTAAACAGACAACGTAACTTTTTTATGGTTCCTTTCAAGCCCCATATTTTGTAATTGGTTCTTTTCCCTGGTCAAAATCTATCCCAGTTCTATAACTACCAAGATATATATGTTACTTACCATGAGTTAATTCTTTATTAAGAAACTATATTGCTTTGGGGCACCTCGGTGGCACAGTTGGTTAAGTGTCTGATTCTTGGTTTCGGCTCAGGTCATGATCTCACAGTCATCTGAGTCATGAGATTGAGCCCTGTGTCAGGCCCGTGCTCAGTGCAGAGTCAGCTTGAGATTCTCTCTCCCTCTGCCCCTCCCCACCCACTTGTGCTCTCTCTCCCTCTCTAAAATCAATTGATTAAAAAGAAACTATAGTTTTATTAAGAAAAAAGTGGTAGAGGCACAAATCAGGTCATTCTAAAATTCTTGAAACAGTACTCAGAAAATGTAGCCTTTATTTACTTAAACATTTATTTACTTCTAGGAAATAAGTGCTTTCTTAATTTCAAGCAACTATGAGAGAACTGCTGTGTTCTTCCACACTCACTTGCCAGAAGGTCAAACTGGAAGTCACATATATGTCTATGAACGGAAATTAAAGGGGACACTCAACAGAAGATAAAATTCTGAACTGTGTTTAAATCTTTCCTAAAGAAATAGATATTGCTGGGTACAGACATTCAGATGCTGCATAAATATGCCTGTAAACACTGCGTAAGATTCATGTAACTAGCAAAAAACCACTGAACTGCTTTACCAAATATCACAAAGTATAAAATATATTAATACAAATGCCAGATTTTAAATAAAGACCTTTAGTTTTCCTCATGGTGTAGTTTTATTGTTTCTTCCACAATATTCAGATGTTCAAGAAATTTCACAAAAGAACAAGTAAGCAAGCTCATAAGAAGGCAGCAAATTCTTCACAAGTCAACGGGCTCGAACCCACAAAAAGACAAGAAGCAGGTGTAAGATTATAGAATGTTAAAGATGAAATTCCATCAAAATGTACTTTTTTCAAGCTCTACTGCAAATTTAACATAAATATCAGTGTTAATTACACTTTGTCATATGATCTGAACTTGCTTTAAACTCATACGTTGAAAGGAAGACTCATTTCATGCACAAAATCTGTTGCATGCCCGGCTTCCTTAAAACTACAGTTGAACATTTCCAGTGCCAAAAAAAAATTCAGCAAAGCTAAACTATAAGGAAAATGCAAGTTAGTAAGCTTTTGCTTGATGCTTCTAAATAATAAAGTCATCAAATTGATACTTAGAAATGATAGACATTATCTTGATAATTTCCTTTTAGTTTCAACACCAAACACTGTAGAAAGCATCCATGTTTCTGTTACCGTTTTCTAATTTAACTTAATCATGATGATCAATATTTAGGGTCAAAAGGTAACTGCCCCAATTCTATTTCAAGATTTGCCATGTGTCTTCCATTAGTGCGACCGTATTTATGCCATTTACCTTCCCTTTTATAAGGTTGTGGCTGAGGGTGCTTCTGCTCTTGTTTTCGATGCCTGGAGTTTTCAATATTTACCATACGTTGCTTTTTATCTGGTCGACTGAAAGCAGTAAACACATTTTTCATCTATGTTAGAGTTAAATTTAAACAAGAAACAATTTTAATGTTTTTTTCTCCATTAATCTATTATCTGAACACTCTGAAAAAGGATGTTAATCTGAAGTATAATCCTAACACAACCATACCAAAAAGATTCAGTATTATACTTTTACCCTACAGAAAAAATAGACAAACATACTATAGTGGCAAAAAGGGGAAATACTCAACAGATTAAATAGAAATGTGACAATAAAATAATGAGATGTGTTTCCATTATTTCTCCTCTCGTTCAAAATCAATCCCTCGCCATTGGCTTCATCCCTCAGCTGGAATATGTATATATCTCTTACAAACTAAATAAAGTCTCTTTTTCTTTTTGCTCTCCTACAGCCACAGCTAAGGTTCATAAACAACGTCTATTTCTACTGCTTTCCCCAAACTCCCTATGATCAGGCTGCTTCTGTCACTACCTCACTGAAACACTCCATAATGCCATTCACAGCCACCCAATTCCCAACCAAGAAATCCAGTCTCTTGTTTAAGGTTTAAAGCGCTTGACATCCTTATATATTCTTTTCACTTGAGATGATCTTTGGATTTTCTTGCCGCCACACTCTGGTATTCTCAGCCTTCTTTCTCTACAACCCCGTAGGTGTTAGTGTGCCCCAGGAGTCTGATAAAACACCCCCAGCCTAGACAATCTATACACGCATGCACACACACACACACACACACACAGTCTGGGCTAGAAAGAGTCCTGTAACTAATGGCCAACTAATTCTTTCCACTTGGCTGTCAATAGGTAGCTACAAGCACAATTCTCTTTTCCAATTCCCCTTACCCAAAACATCTGGTATCCCTTATCTTAGTGATGCCACTACCCAACTAGTGACCCAACCCTGAAATCTGCAATTGTTACTTTCTACTTCTCTTTCACAAGAAATACCACCAATTTTACTTATTATATATTATTCAAATTATATATTATTCAAATCTGTCTCCTTCCCACTCCTACTATTACCCTAGTTCAGATACTCTTCAGCTCATGTCTGTATTTTTCCAAAGACCACCGGCTAGCTTCTAGCTTCACTCTTTCCAACCAACCCTCCAGGCTGTTGCCAGTGATCCAAAATGCAATGAGGCAAGTCCTTTAGCACAAAATGAGGTCCTTCAGATCTTCACAAAAGATCTGTATCTTTTCTTTTCATACCCCAGCACTACCTTGCCTCCTTAAAGTGGCCTGTCTTCACTTCTCCAAATCTATGCAAATGAAGTTCTCTTTGAGAGAGAATGTCCTACTCTATCTGCTTAGCAAATTCCCAATTCGCCTTCAAAAACCAATTTAAAGTGCAGTTCAAAGATCACTTCACCCTGAAGCCTTCCCAAACATCTCCAGGCTGAGGCCGCCATATACAATGTGCCTCCAATACCTCCATTTCATTTCTTATATTTACCTAACTCTCCAAAAGCTTGTGAGCTCCTTGATGACAAGAATTTTTCATGTTTTGTCAGGGCAGCCTCACAATGTTTTGCTCATTTAGGCACTAGATATTTGAAGACTAAAGATATCAGAATCAGTCTCATTATTTTATAGACACATTACATTTATTCAAAAAAGATAAATATAACTCAAAAAATAAAGCTAACATTTGAAGATTAGGCGAGTTTCATGTTACAGAATATAAAGCTGATAAGCGAGTTATTTTTAGAAATTATGTATATAAAGCACACACATTATAACTTGTGGCTTACTAAGTTTGCCTCTACCTTTATGAACAATAATTGTATAGTAACTGTATTAAGTATCATAATTTAGTTGGTAAATGGAATAGACAAATAAGGGGGCCAATTCAAATTGTTACATATGAGCTCTTCTGATTTCGGACTGAAATCTGTATTGTTCACCCTAGCTTCCCAAAGTGAGTAAATAAATAAAAGACCAAAGAAAAATCATTTCACTTAAGATGATTATCTTTTCATATAAACTAGAATGAAAAGAAACAAGAGGCTAAAATAGGATTTGCATATCCTTAGCTCATTTTTAAGGCAGAAATTAAACTATTTGCTCAAGTCAAACTGATCATATGAAATTTTCAGTTTGTAATAGCTATTAACTTAAAATTCTATCTTTCAACTTAATTTATTCTAAATTCTCTGGCAATAAAGTACTTTTACAAATAGCACTTTTTTTTTCCTTTACAAAAAGTACTTCAAGGATAGTAACAATCCAAGATGTTAAAATGATAAAAATGCTACCCAATCTATAAATGTTAAAAACTATTATAATAACATGGTGCTATGTAAACCGACCTGGGTCCATATGGAGGGGAAAGAGTGTGACCAAAGAAGTGTCTATATATATATCCATCCAACTTCTCAAACACTCCATCATTATCTACTTGATATTCCTTCATGTCTTTAAGATAATCTTTAACATCATTAACAAAGTCAGTGAAGAGCTTCTGATCATGTATAAAGACATCATTTAGGAAAAACTTATTGATGAATTGATCAAGTTCTTTCCAATGATGAAAACTATCCAGTTGTTCTAATAAATACCTTTCAATTAACTGTCTAAATTCATCTATCCTTACAGGATTCAACACTTTCATATTAAAAAGGTTAATGGATTCCTGTTGAGCACATTCAAATACACCAGAACAAGACTTTCTGAAAGAATCATAATTTTCACTACAGTCATGCTCGGCACTGCATTTCTGTGAATTTGTATTTTTTCTAAATTCTTCAAAGTGAATTGGCTTTTCTTTCCTTCCCTCTCTTTGCAGAGTAGGGCCTTTATTCTGGTTTTGTGTACGTGCCTTATACTGTGGGTGTAAATATTCACTAAAGACTGTTGTTGGTTTTTTAGCTGCTGCTTCTTTTGTGGCACTAAATCTTTTATTGCCCTTTTCATCAAAGATATTCTTGGTAGTATCTTTGAAATGCCTGAAAGTGGATTTAACTGAATCTGAAAATTTTTTCAGATTTTCTTTCACAGCTTCTTTAGCCTGTTTAATTTTTTCTTTATGATGCCTCACAAATTCCTTGGTAGAATTCTTCATGGCATCAAATGTTTCCTTAACTGAACCCAAAAATGTTTCCTTTGATTTATTTTTAGCCCTGTGGTTTCCTCTGCTCCCTTTCTTTTTTCCATCGGTTTCTTGTTTTGTATTTTGATCTTTTGCCTCAATATACAGTCTTTCCCACAAATCAGAACGCTGCTGTTCAAAGTTTAGCTTCTGCTCCAGCTCAGTGAGTCTTTCCCGTAAGACTTCTATTTCCTTTTTTTCAGTCAATACATTGGGAGAGTCTGGGTTGCCATATGACTCACTAGAGCTTAACTGCTGGAGTTCCACCTTTAAAGCCATGGTTACTAGTCGTTCTCTCTCCAGTTCCCTCCTTAGCATCTTTGTTTCTGCCGAAAGAGTCTCCCTCTGATTAAGGAAGCTGTGTGTCTTCAGCTTTTCTTCTTCCAGATGCTGCTTAAGTTTCTGATTTTCTGTGACTAATTCAGTACCTGTCCCTTTATCTTCCAATATCCTAATCTGTTCTCTTAGTTTCCTTAACTCTTCCTGTAATAAAGACAAGGCTTTTTCTTCCTTCTCCAGAGATATCCTTAAATACTGATTTTCTGTATCAAGGTTCTTTTTCTGAGTTTCAAAGGACATCTTCTCTTCTTCAGTAAGGGCCCAACATCTTGCAAGGTTTTCCTTCAAAGACTAAATTTTTTGAAGAGAAGAAGAATGCAAATGCTTCATTTAAAAGCTCAATTCAAATCTTTAAGACATAATCCTATGTAACCAATACTCATAAATTTTTAGTATCTATTTCTACAGAGACTATCCTTTATGTAGTGTATATATATATATACATATATATATTTGTAGAGTATATATATATGTATTTCAATACATAAAAATCAGAAAATACAAGGTTCATATGCAAGAAAATGCACAGCACAGAGCTACATCAAAATAACAACAAGCACGCTGGAAGGATTTAAAAACTGGAAAAAATGAGCTAGAGCCTGGTTTATCCCTAGTAAGATTTCTAAAATAGAGCTAGGGGTACTTCTGATTAGTGTTTATTAGTGATTACTGATTATTTTCCATAATCATATGAAAGCCTTAATGGTTTCTAGGCCCACTTAAAAGTCAGGAGAAAAGGAGACTGGTCTATCTTCTGACTACAGAACTCCAATCTCTCCTGAGAAGTCTCCTAAAGAGAATTTAGGCAGGACTAAAGGCTTCTCTGACCCTTGGGTGAAGGACATGATCTTTTATAAAAAGGAAAATTATAGCTAGAGATGACCTGAGGATTCAAAAAATTCTATTTATATTCTCGGCACTCTTTGAAAGGAAAACATTTCAGTAATCTTAGTCCTATCTGAAAGATCTTCACCCTGTGCCAATTAACATCCCAAAGTAGGTTCAGGTAAGTCCTACAAGTTCTCTCAGCACTTCTTAGAGGACTGAATCTTGGTAACATTTATAACTAATTTCTCCGATTTCAAATAATCTTCTGAAGAGAATATCATCAGATTAGCAATGTAACTCTGAAGTAAGCACCCTTGAAAGAGAGGAAACCATGTTCAATTAGGTTTACAAAATTTTGCTGCATTTCAAAGTAGCCTTGAATATCTCTTTCAACATATATATTAGTAACAAACTTTCACCAAAACAGCAAGAAACTAAACAATATGCTTAAATAGGCTAATGGTTATAGCATTATCCAGTCAGTTAAAATACCTTATATATAAATCAGCAAATGATCCTTAAATTTTACTTAATTTACCACAGACATTACAGTTATCCCATTTGAATCAGACCAAAAAATCGGATATATAGAAACAAAAGAAAAATGTCCTTTAGGAAAATGACAGTATTTCCACTTGAAAATAACCATCTGAAATGGATGGTTCGTTATCTGGTTCATTAGTCATCAAAGAACAAATTAAAATTTAAAATTTCACAATAACCAGGGGTGCCTGGGTGGCTCAGTCGGTTAAGCATCCTACTCGATTTGGGCTCAGGTCATGATCTCAGGATCCTGAGACTGAGCCTCGAGTTGGGGCTGAGCGTGGAGCCTGCTTAGGAGTCTCTCCCTCACCATTTGCACCCCACCCCCCTGCCCTGCTTGTACTCTCTGTCTCTCTCTAAAGAAATTTGTTTAAAAATTTCATTATAATCATTTCATCTGGAGAGAAAACAAGTTTTGAGTACCCAACAGAAGTGGACCATGGACACTGGGGAGGGTATGTGTTATGGTGAGCGCTGTGTATTGTGTAAAACTGATGAATCACAGACCTGTACCCCTGAAACAAAGAATACATTATATGTAAGTAAGTAAGTAAGTAAATAAATAAATAAATAAATAAATAAATAAATAAAAGAAGTGGACCATGGAGTAGTACAGACTAATGTAGCATTATCTTTAAATGCAAAAGCACAAGGGACCACAGAATGATTGGAGGGTATATTCTGCATTCAGTAAACTTCATAATCTTGAAGTGCCTGATAAGCAAATCCTGGGCAGGTCTCCCATGAAGCTTCAAAATCCAAACCACATTTAATAGTTGGAGGTAAGAGGCCTACAAGAACCGACTCAATAAAGATCTATGCAGAGTCAGTCTTCTAAAAGCCAACATCATCCTATGGAACCAGAAACCATGGTGGTGAAGAAGAAAATGCCTACTCTTTTTATAACATCCTTTGATCAAGGTAGGAAAAACTACACTATTTACAAATAACTTCAGTAGTCCCTGCCTGAAAAAAGACATAATCCAGATGTCAAGTGGGATTCTGTCTTCTAAAGAAATATAATCATAGCCCTATAAGGAATACATAAATTGTGAGGGAAATTTGGGGGGAATGGAAGGAAAAAGGAACTGTTTACTTTTCTACCTGAGTTTTTTCTACAAGCCCTATACCCTTCTTGTGAAGAACCAGAGAAGAGACCAGCTATTACACTGGTCCTCATAAACCCACACAGGTGTTAATGGACAGCACAGTCCTGCTGATGTTAGGTGAGTTTAGGGAGGCAAGTATAACATGCTCTCTTTTCCATCAGACCCAATGAGAAACTGAAGAAAAAGGACTGGCTGATTATTTCCCTTGATCGGGGAAAGATCTTAGAGAGAGGCTACAAACTCTCCTTTTTCTCACTGACTGAAAATGTTTTGTTAGTTCTGTAAAAATAATATTAATAATGTTTCCTATATATATTATTAATTAAAAATAATGTTAATTATAGTAGTTAGAAATAACATCTTTGAAGTCAAATAAATTCAGTTTTGCCAATTGCTAGCCTTGGAAAAGTTAACTTTTTATTTTTTTTTAAAGATTTTATTTATTTATTTGATACAGAGAGAGACATAGCAAGAGAGGGAACACAAGCAGAGGGAGTGGGAGAGGGAGAAGCAGGCTTCCTGCTGAGCAGGGAGCCCAATGCGAGGCTCGATCCCGGGACCCTGGGATCATGACCTGAGTCTAAGGCAGACGCTTAACGACTGAGCCACCAAGGTGCCCCGAGAAGTTAACTTTTTTGAACCTCTTTCCCATCTATGAAATGAAGCTAATACTTGCTTAATTCACAGGGCTATGGTAAGCAATAAGAGAAATACTATATGTGAGGTACTCGCAATGACTCGGACACAGTAAGTAATCAACAATTACAGTATTATTGTTACTACTGACTCACTAATCTGCTTTGTACTTGTATCTGAATAGTCCTATAATTTTATTGGCTAACAATTCTTTTTCATAAAGTTTGTTAGTAGTACATACCTTATAATCTATAAAAGATTCTTGTTCCTGTTGACACTGGGAAAGATAATCCTTCATATCATTCAATTCATCTTCATGTATCTTTCTGACTAACTGTTGACGCCTCTGAATCTGAATTGTGCCTGAAAAATGAAAATTTTTATTAGGGATATATACACACACACACACACACACATATATATATATATATGAGAAATGTTATGGTGACCAATATTTTAAAACATATAATAAAACACTTAATCTGTATATATTTAACTGATTAATCTGGATAGGATCATTTTAAGGCCAGCATTTCACAGTTCTATAAAAACTCTGATTATATAAACAAAAGATTAAGTAAAATCTCATGGTGTCATTCATCAAATGGTGGTGGATGGATGTTAATATAGATCAGCCCAAGTAGGTTAATATATATTTTTTTTTATTTAGCATACACCAAGGGACATTTAAGTAGTTCACTATCCTTTTGACTAAAACAAGCCAACCTACGTTACTCTTAAAAAAATTAAAAAAGCTTTTATTTTTAATCTTACTATATCGAGGGCAGTCAAGTTTGTTGTTTTTGAGAGATTGTTGCGGTACATAAAGTGTTGTCTTCAGCAGGGAAAGAAACAAACCATGGAATCTATTGACAGGATGTAAGTCAATAAGGAAAAATAAGAATGTCTCTTTTTTCTCACTCTATTTGCCTAGTAAATGATGTAACACAGCCCATAAAGTACAACAAGGAAAAAACTGGCTGTGATTACTCACTATTCTCACAGCCAAATCGTTTAAGAGTTCTGCATTAGTTAGGTCTGTCCTAGAGTACCATCACCCCCATCCCTGCGGTGATAAATCTTAAACCAACTATAGGATTCCCTATATTTTCACCCTAAAAACTAAAATGTTAATTTGCCAAGACATGCTGTTCACGTGCTGCTACATGCTTCATGCATGAGAGAGAGAAAAAAAAAAAACCACACACACACTGAATCAAAAATAAAGCAAAAGGCATTTGGCAACCTTGACCTTAACATCTACCAAGTGGCATACTATTATTATTAAGATGTCACAGGATTTTGTAATGAAAGGATGTAATGATAGCTTACTATTTCTTCCCCTACTGCTAAAAAAAATTAACTTTCAATTTCTTCAATAATCTTGAAAAACACTAAAGAAAACTTTTGCCAAATTACAAACAACTGTTACCAGCTATGATACTCTTCTGTTAAGGTTCACTTCCTCTCTTTCAATTTTCCAATTTATAAAAGCATGGCAAATTTGTCTCAATATTACTCAAAAGAATCTCAGATTTTTTTAAGTGTTGAAAACTCATTTTCAGTTCCCAGAATAACAGAAAACCTCTTTTTTTTCAAACTGCTGACAGGATGAATTCCTTTACCCCTTGGAAAATAACCTAAAAGTATGTGTTGAGATCTGAATTTGCAGTACTATCACATAACATATATTGGCTATGTGGCCTTTATCTAATAACTATTGGGGCTTTTTTCCCTACATCTTTAGCTGCCTAACTACAAAGTGTTACCACCCAAGGTACAATCTTTGGCCTTCTTGTCATGTCTACAGATCTGCCTATCTTAATCATAAAAACCCAGTTTTTGTTACCACTGCTCTAAGATTTCTCTTCTGAGTCCAATCTTACCAGAGCTTCCGGCCAATACATCCACCTGCCTGTTTGGGCACAATTTTGGGGGAGGCTTCATGAAAAAAATCGAACCTTAACACCTGCCCTAAACCATTCTAGAATAAAGTTGGATAAAAACAAACCAAACTGTGCTCACCATCTATTTATCATCTAGCAAAACTTTCCTAGAAACACCCCCAATTCCAAAAATAAAGCAGCTAGCATACTTCTTGGAATTTAAAAAGTAAACCACCGATATCGTAAGTATCCTGGCTCAAAGTTATGTTTTCCATTATTACTTCAGTGTCCCTTATTTCACTAACCTTCTCTCCATCCCCATCTTCACTATAATTGTAAACGCCTGATCACCAAATAGTAGGATTACATACCCTCTTAACTGTCTTAATTTTTCCCATACCATATGCCTCCTTGCTCTTTTCCTCTAAAATTACCGTGAGGTTACTCTATAAATCAAACTCTTACCCAGATTCCAAGATGTTTTACAACATAACACCAGCCCACGCACTCGAACGTTTTACTCCACTATTTCTAATTTATCTACTCTGCTGTAGTCCAGTTTTCTCCTTGCTCCCAAACCCAGCAAAGTTTACTTTCAGGTTGTCAGGTTCTCCATTGCTGGAATGCTCCACTTTCCTTCTGCCTAGCATAAGCGTAAGACCAGACCCTGCTCAAATCCTACCACCTCCAGGATGACTCAGTAAGTATAGTTTTTGAGCTATGATTCTTTTCTGTGCTACATAACTCAGCACTGTAGATACATTCTGTTACAGTGTCTGAAGAGCAGGGTAGCCTATCAATACTTAAAGTAACTCCATGAGAAAATTGAATCAACTGAACTCCACTGTTGATTTAGAATATGGATAGCCTACAATGTAAAGAAAGCATCAGGAAGACAGGTGCTTCATACATGAAGATTTTTTTAACTTTTGTACCTGAAGCAGTACCAAATACCTGTAGTAATCTGTTTTACTACCCTCAATCCTAATTTTCCCCTCCTTCTGGAATAGATCTAATTCTCCAAATTTATAAAGAGCTGAGGTTGGCGAATGTTCTGAGTAATTCATTTAAATAGTATGTTTTTGTTAAATAATTAGTAAGCAAACGATTGATTATGGAGTATGCAGTGACTAACTTCATGGTGCATGAGAAATTCAAACTGGCTCTGAAATCAATTCAAAGGAGCTCTTAAAGTGTTGATATCAGTGCCAGAATTAAGACAAAAACATGATGTCCTTTAAACAGTGCCCTTGAAAAACTAACAGTTTTTATATGTTCACTGAGCCAATCTCATCACCATGCAAAACTATTACATATTACCCAGGCTTTTCATATTCTGAAAAGATATCATTAAAGTAAATTTTACAAGTAACCAAAATCTTAAATAGAGCAGCAATTTCTCAATTTTGAGAGCACTCCTCTCTACATTGTTCTACAAAATACTTAAAGGTCATGCAATTGATGGGGTTTTAATGCAATCTGGATCAACATTAAATCACTGTCCAATTTTTTTAATAAGAAAAAAAGATTAAGATAAGACCTTCTCCTTTGTTACTTCCATGTTTACCTGTGGGGAAAAAGATCACTCTCAAAAATACATTCATACATTTGTTCCAGCTAGATAATAAACAAAAGTAAGCATATTACTTCAAGTCAAATCTCATTACAATAAACTTCAAGGGAGGATACAAATTATAGTATCTCAGCATTAAAGTCAAGCAGGCATCCACCAGGAGTCTAAAAGCTCATTTTTATCAATATAAAGTTAAATAAGAAGAAACACATTTTACTGACTCTGACTTTAAACAAGTATTGAATGTCTTGTTTATTCTAACATTACACTATGTATGCTTTTAATGTATCTTTTCCATATATTAACAAAGCGTACATGTAACTCTTCAATTTTTGCATAAGGAAGACATTGTTGAAAGGGGGAACTAGCAAAACAGGAATATTCCAAAAGTTAAATTGTGGATCCTATCAGCAAAAACCTAGAAGTACTTCATGTACGGCAAATTGAAATTTGTAAAGTTGACAAGATCTAAAACGTTTAAGTGTTTTTTCAAAATTCTAATACAGAGTGTGTGAATGAGTGTGAAATGTTCAGTTCTCAAACAGTCTAATCTTTGTACAAACAGACATGTTAAATAAGACTCCTCCCCAGTGAAAAATTACACCACATGGAATTCCTTCCTCTTTTCATCTAAGACACTTTTAAAAGGCTTTGCATTAAAGATAATATACATAAATACTAGTAAGGATAATAACAAGCAAAGTTTAGGGGCACCTGGGTGGCTCAGTCATTAAGCGTCTGCCTTCAGCTCAGGTCATGATCTTGGGGTCCTGGCATGGGGCTCCCTGCTCAGCAGGGAGCCTGCTTCTCCCTCTCCCTCTGCCCCTCCCTGCTGCTTGTGTGCTCTCACTCTGCTCTCTCTCTCTCAAATAAACAAAATCTTTAAAAAAATTAAAAAATAAACAAACATGCATGCTAAAAATCCCTACATTTCTTAAATACCACCTAACCTAAGGGAAAACAGCTTTGTGAGATAGGTAGCACTATCCCCATTTTCCAAATGAGAAACCTGAGGCTCAAATAGATTGCAAGCTTTCCAAGGACATATATTTAATGATGACACTAAAAACAGATCCCAGAATTCCTCTCTTAGCCAAGTGCCCATACACACCATTTGTTTACATGTAACAAATTTTCAAACACTTACCATAGAAATGTCCAAATCCCATGCTGATTGCAATCACCAAAGCAAGTATAACACACTTATTGAGACCACTGCTGAACTGGCGTTTACACAACTCCTTAGAGGGTTCAGTTTCTTGTTCGGGGAGTAGCCGTTCCTCAGATTCTGAACTAGAGACAGTCTTCTTCCTAGCGCGGCGGCGTCTAAAAGCAGGACTAGGCTGATGACTGGTTTCATCACTACTTGATTCATCGTCGCTAGGCTGGGATGAAAATACTATTTTAAAAAGAAAAATGTAAATATTAAAAATTTTAGAATAGCTTTTCCAATAAATATGATTTAGAATAATCAATGCCATCCCTACATGCCCTTTTACATAAGACAGCCAAAAACAAAAACAAAACAACACAAATAAAAACTCAAGTTTTCAAGTTTATCAACATAAAGCCAAAACATAAAAGATTTCAATTGTGATACATAAGAATCTATTAATCATATTCTGTGCCTTTGAGGGTCTAGCTGGTTTTATTTTTTAAACTTCTCTTATAGTTTACACTGTTAGAACAATCATTCTCATAGCCTATTAAATTTCTTTGCTATTACAGCCATAAACAGATACTGTTTCTGGAAAGAAAAAAAAAAACTCTCTTCATTCAATTTCAAATAGACATCATTTAAGCTCAGCTGTTTAAGGAACACAGGGAGGTATACGAAAAGTTCCTGTGACTTACAAAGTACAGTAACTACCAAAAGTTTTCTTGGGTGTATCTGGACCCTAGTTTCATTTCCATCCTTTATGAGTCCACAATCAACATTCACAGCACTACAGTTTAACACAGGTTTCCAGAAGTCAGATGAGCCCTTCCCTTCGACTGCCACTCTTACTAGAAGGTTATGAATTTTACCCTCTAGTAAATATGTCAGCATGAGGAAGTGACACAACAGCTATCTCCGATAGTAAGGACTAGTCTGGTGCTGCTCCTTTATGAAAAGAACAGTAAACAACAACAAAATCCATAAGAAATCTTAAGTCCTGGTAATATATCCACTAACAAAATCACTTTCAGTTTTCTTCAAATGTAGAACTTGTTAACACTGTTCCATCAATCAATAAACTACATGTTGACACCGAAAGTTAGATGGCTCAGTAATAATTTCCACAGGCCAGTTAGAAGGACAAAAAAAAAAAAGCAAGCACCAACAGTAAAATGTGAACCTCAATTTGAAACAAAGAGCTCCCAATAACAAACATACATGCTTCAGAAAAGCAAAACAGTTCTTCAGACGACAGGCTATCCATGCCACAGGAAAGCTGGTGACTTGGGGCAGCCAGTACTTTTTAAAGATGGGCCACAGAGGATTCAGTTAACTTTCACACCGACAACAACACACACAAAGACAAAAAGAACTACTGAATGAAGGAATATTCCTAATATTTAGTGATACAGATGCCACTGAAAGATCTTTTGGTCATGACCCTTATGCCCATCATGTTTATCTGGTTATTCTTGATCACTAGTTTTTCCCAGATGCCGTCGCCTCAGCTGTGAGGTTACATTTCTTGGACAAAGAGAAAGAAAGGAAGACTTAAACAAAGCATTACATAATACAAAGGCATTCAAGATCATGGCTGGAGTATTTAAGATGGGTAAATGTAAAAACAAACCATTTGTCAAAACTCCTTAAATAAATTTAATTCTACGTTAGCATACTGCCTTCATTATGATTCTAAGTAAACAAGCCAGCCTAATCCATATTAATAAATTCATATCCTTATCTAATGCTTCCGTCTTTTTTAACCCATACATCCAACAGCTAAAATATTCTGAGTTCTAAATTTCTTTCAAAGCTTAATTTGGCCCATAGTCCAAGATGCAGGCAAGGCAAAGGCATGCAATAAGCTTAACCGGCTTTATTACAAGATCAATTTGAACACCAGTTTAGAGTATCACAGATGACAACAGTTATCTTTAAAGCACTAAGTAAATAGTAAATGTGACTCGGCACACTCAGCTCTAGAAAAGCTGATCGGATTTAGTCACACCACCTTGGAAAGCGAGTTGGCTAGGAACATGGGGTTTCAGCTGATCATCCCATCCCCTTATGCATTCAGGAATCTTCCACAGCTTCTCCCACCACCTTTCTTTTGTGAATAAACAGGAAAAAAAGATGTATAAAGCTTTATTATAAAGATTAAAAAGGAAAAAGAGAACTGAAAATACTTATTTTAATTATCACTGAACATTGTTATTTGTGTTCCATCAAAATTGAACAATCACGCCTTTAAAAAAAAAACACATATGCAATACAAACTTTTCCACGACTACCAACTTTGCTTTCTTGGGGGAGAGTCCAGTACGGGGGCAGTGGATAGCTTCCTTAAATGAACAAAGAGTATATTGCCACAAGAATCTAATTTAGAAGAAGAAAAAACTTGAAATCCTACAGAGATAGAGAAGAAAGGAAAGGAAAAATCAAAAACCCAGGCAATGGGTAGTAGGGGATTAACAAACCAAAAAAATAGATGAGAGAGAATGAAGACTCTTGACAACTGATTTATATATTTTCAATTTTTTAAAATTATTTTATGTAACACTTTCTTTACTGAAATAATTCATTTCTTCAGGACAGATAGCAATGGATAAAGATACTCCTAGTAATATTTCCCTTAACTGAAACTGTAAAATCCCCAAGAAGTCCAAGTTCAGAAAGGAGATAAAAACCAGAATAATGAGCTCTGAAGTGTCCAAGTCCCTGAAAAAATTAAGTTTGTAGGATCAATTTCTTAAATGTCTGCTTGGACCCTTCTGCAATACTCCTGCTTCAATGTGACTACTTTTTCTGGCCCATGAATATTCTCAAATTAAACCAGCATCTATAGTCTTCCAAAAAAATAAAGGAAAGAAAGAAGACTACTTGAATACAGCGTGACTCCTGGATTTAAACAAATAAAATAAAATCTGATAAACAAAAAAGATTCTAAGTCAATTCATTAGTCCTCGTAATAAATATACTATGTAAACCATTCTGGCAAAGTCTGACCACTAAGAATGCCAGATGAGTATTTAAATATTTGAATAAAGTGTTTTTAAGCTCCTGTTTATAGGAAATCTGATATACTAATTGAAAATAACTTGCCATTAAATGAGATAGCTAAATATCTCTACTTGACATTTTATTAGCATGAAGTGGAATAACAGAAATTCCATTGTCTGATTCTAGCAAATGTAAATATTAAAGAATGGTAAACTCTAAGAAAATGACCTGAAATAAACACATCCTTATTTTTGCATCAAATTAGGAACTTTTGGAATCACTAGCAGTGTTCCAACTTGTCTTTCTCCCAATTCATCCCTGAGTTACAAGGGTTGGTTAAAAACTGTGAGTTAATGATAGTTTTGATTCTTTTATTTCCCAGTAACTTTGTGTGTAAATATTTATGTCCACCTTGAAAGATGTTATATACATCCCTCAAGCTGAGTCAAAGAAATATAGAAAGGAATTATCTCAGGAACTCACATTTTAACCTCCAAATCACTGTCTGAACAGTAGGCATTAAGTGCGTTAATAACATGACTTAAAATAGACACACTTTCATAACTCAATCTAAAATGAAAGATACAAAGGTCAGGGGCTTTGGGATACTGACGTACTGCCAGCTCTTTGAACTCTGTTTAGCACATAAGTAGCATTCAATAAATGTTTGTTAAATGATTAATAGTTGAAAGGATCTTTTTTTTTTTTTAAGATTTTTATTTATTTGCGCGAGAGAGAATGAGAGACAGAGAGCATGAGAGGGAGGAGGGTCAGAGGGAGAAGCAGACTCCCTGCTGAGCAGGGAGCCCAATGAGGGACTCAATCCCGGGACTCCAGGATCATGACCTGAGCCGAAGGCAGTCGCTCAACCAACTGAGCCACCCAGGTGCCCCAACAGTTGAAAGGATCTAACAGACTTCAATAAGAAGCTTCTTTCACAATTTCTAGAATATAAAATTTGTACCATTTTAAGTAGAAATCTTAACTTTCTCCTGCTTTTAGTTATAATGGCTCAATCTTCCACCCTTAAATATCTAAAATATATCAAATGCATTTCAGACTGTTTCAGGTAATAACAAAGCTCCTTGAAGATACTTTTTCATTGTTTACTTAATAAAAGATGGTATTTATTGTTATAGCAATTCTGCTCTAGGACCTACAATCTAAGAAAACACTAGATAGAACAGTAGATTTTACAAAAAATCTCAAATATATTTAAAACTTGGCCATTTTATAAAACGTGGTCATAGGAGACCTTGAGTCTCTATCAGTGTATTCTTTACACAGCTCTTACCAGTTTCTGGCTGACAGAATGTATATTGGCTGCTGGAAGAAGAGCCCATGTTAAAGTCTTCTGGACTCTGTGCTTCTTCAACAATTAGAGCTTCTGGATTTCCAATTTCTTCTAACTTAGGTGGCTCAAGGGTAACAATATCAGAATCATCACTGACAGTCCCAAAATAGACATTGTCTTCAGATGACTTTTCTTCTCTCTGAGGAATAATTTTAAAGACAGTAAATTTAACAATTATTTAAGAGCCTTGTATTTTCTATTTATTTAGCTCAAAGTATACAACAGTACTTAAGTAGTATGGTAATTTCGGCTTAAAATAAAAGATAGAGGAGTCCTGCCCAAAAGACAAAGATTACAACAGCAGGCTCATCTTTTAGTTTGAAAACACCATCAAACCCCTTGGCGATTCTCTCAGAATTAGATCAAACTAATCCTTGTAGGCATTAGATCAATGTGCCTAATCATTGTAGGCTACAAAAGCTGACAAACTCACCTTTAAAAACTAAGGACAACAGAAAAAGAGAGGATTCATTTCTCACTAATTCCACGGGTTTATTTGAGCCTAACTCTGTAGTCAGGAAGCCCATAAGACTGATTACAAATTTCTCTGGTTATGTAAGTAATAAACTTCGATAGCTATGCCATGTAAAAATCACCTAATCTAGTTTTATCCAAAAGTCAAGTAAAACATCAAAAAAGAAGATTTAGTTTGTTCTCAAATTTAAAAACGAATCTTCCTTTTTAGATAAACCCTAATAATTTCTCAATATAATTCAAGAATGCAATCTATTTCCCCAAAAAAATTTTATTAGAGAGTAAATGAATAGAAATTACTTTTGTAATTACTTTGGTAAATTAAAAGACATCTCACTTAAGAGTTTGTAAGACAGACACTAACTCTAATCATAAAAGTGACCAATCTGTGGAATCAAAATTTTTAATAAAAGTTGTTTATAATTCAAAGAGAAAAAAAATGCACAACTAGAAATGGAAGCTTTAATTATTCCTTAGTATTCACTAAGGAATATTCCTTATCGTATATGCACAGAGTACAACACAAGTTTACCTCAAGGGCTGACTTCGTTTCCTCCAAAGCTGGATAAGCAGTTTCTCCCATTAACACTGTGTCATTCTGGCTACTCTCTGATATAAAGCAAAGATCAAGTCAATCAATTACACTCAACTGAGTTTTTGTAGTCCACACAGATTAAAATCTGAATACATAAAATCTAGTCCTAATTTTTTAAAGTGGATTTAATTAAATGTCACATACACTACCACTGCTAAAAAGTTCTCTGGTAATTGATTTATATATAGTATTTTCAACATAATCCAAAATGTCTTTTTTTTTAATTATTTTATATAACACTTTCTTTACTGAAATAATTCATTCCTTCAGTAGAGATAGCAATAGATAAAAATACTCCTAGGAAAATATTTCTCTTAACTGAAACTGCAAACCGTTGCTAAAAAGATCTCCATATTTCAAATATAATTATTTGAAATTGTCAGAGGATAATTTCAGATACTGAATTCATTTAGTATCTACTAAAAAAAAACATATAAATCTCTAAGTAAACATAATCTCTACTTTACAATACGAAAGTCCTGAATCCAGGGTGTCTGTAAAAACCTGTTAATATGGAAAACCAATTTTCAGACATCTGATGGTACATTTCCTGAATTTCTAAAAGTAGCACTATTCTAATGACTAGTAACACAAGAATCAAAACTATAGCTTCAAATTATGAATTCTTTGCAATAAAAAGGACTATATAAAACAAGGATTCAAAAGAACACAGAAAAACAAGAAAATATCACTATAGCAGATATATTTTATAAGAAACTCCTCAAAGAAAAAAATGTACAAAAAAACTAGAGGTCATAAAATTATATTTTTAATGAAAAATGCTATAAAATTGAAATTAAAAATATTAAAACAATATGATAAACATAAATTTTATGCATAGCAAAGAGCACACACCAAATGCTAATAGCAGTTACTGCCAGGTAAAAAGAACTAAAGGTGACTTAAAATTTTTTTTGCTCATCATTTTTCCTGTCATGAATGTGTATTTTTCTCATATAATTGAGCCCCTCCAAAAAAACAGAAGAAAAAAAAAAAGAAAAACTACCCCATTTGTACGTGTTACAAAGCCCCTAACAGCATATTAATCTGAAATTAAGACTCTTTAACAAAGATGGACTTGGGTCCAAGGACTCCCAAGGAAGTGTGGAAGTAATTTTACATATGTGAGTATGTGCATTTCTTGGGAGAAATCATCCACAGCTTTCAGATTCTCAAGGAGATCTCTGACCGATCAAAGATGAGAATCACTGTTCAAACGAGAATAATCAATACATAGGCTGAAAACAAGATTAACAGGTATAATCTATCGTATTTCTAGCCATGACACATCCACTTTATTCTCCTGAGGAAATATTCTGTTTACATTTCAATGCGGTTTTTAAAAAAGTTTAAGAGGTAATTTAAAAATGAAGAGTACAGCAGTTAAAAGCCTTTTACCACCTCTAACCAAAAGTAATTTGAAGCGTGATGATAACTAGAGAATCTGAGTTTAGTAAATCCCTTATGATTAATTATTTTGTACATCACTAGCCTTAATCAAGATTAGTAATATCTAGTTACTGGTTACACTTATGGTATGAAAGAGTTATACGGAGGCCCAAATATATACTACAGCTGCAAATAAGCAAACCCCTGGGCAGGTTGGTAACACTACCTAATCCACACTAATATTCTAGTCATTCAGTGACCTGATCATTTAGATTAGCTAGAAAGGCTGCCCACCTAGAAAAAAGGCAAGATTCATACTGTCGTTCACATATCCTATTATTAAAAAAAAATCAGACTCTTTTTAGTATCTTACCTCCCTGCTCTGACTGCAATACTTGTTGCTCCTCTTGCTCTAAAGATGTACATTCTGGAGCGAGCTCACAGCTGTCTCTGGCTGTACCATGTTCAGAATTCACCATCTCTATATCAGACCCCTACAGAAAAAGCAGTAATCAGTTATATGTCTATCAGCTGCTCAAAGCTGGATATGACTACGTGTAGATACTTCCACCAGTCAAAAGTCCTAGATGCTGCCATTCTCCAAAGGGAACAGTATCTAATCTGACTACCTTTTATTCAATTTAGTCAATAAAGGCCTATGGCAGTGAAATGGCAGAATGGAATTGCAGGCTTGGATTCTAAGAGAAGTAAGCCAAAAGTCAAATGCTCTACTCTATTTTATAAGCCCAAGCAATAAATTTGATGCCAGAGGGTAAGTTTTTAAACTAAACTTTGGCTATTTCTATTATTTTACTTCTACTCAACATTTATGAAAGTACTATGCAAGGCACTCCACTATGTGTTATGAGGTACAAAAAATTCAGATCCAAAATTCAAATTTACAGCCTATTCAGAGAAATTTCCACATGCGAATAACTATTTACTATGACAATGTAGAAATAAAGTCTAAGGGCAAGGATTAAAATGAACCTATAGGATTAATGGAGTAAACTTTCCCTATAAAACTTTATAGAGTATTCTTTTTTTTTTTTTTTTAATATTTTATTTATTTACTTGACAGAGAGAGAGAGTAGCAGAGGGAGCGGGAGCGGCAGACTCCCTGCCGAGCAGGGAGCCCGATGCGGGGCTCGATCCCAGGACCCTGAGATCATGACCTGAGCCGAAGGCAGACGCTTAATGGCTGAGCCACCCAGGCACCCCTAGAGTATTCTTTATTCTTTATTCTTCCAAGGTTGTCCTTCCTACTTTGATGTCAGACTGTCTTCTGTGTAATAAAACAGTGGATCTTACAGTTTTTTCTCCACATATCTTCATTAGCAAAATAAAGTTAGCCACTAAGCTCCTTCTGCTTGTCCCCATGCCCCTCTCCCAATGTTTTCTGTAGTTTACTGATCCATGTAATCAAAAGGTCTAAGTTCTCCTAATGAATATAACTCGAAACAGCAAAAATTAAAAGAATTCATCAAAGGAGTAGGTTTTCAGTTGAATCCTAAAGAGAACTCTGAATGTTAAGACTCTGGGGTTGCCTAAAGTGGCAGGAAAATCACAGAAATAGGCAAGGTTAGGGCTGAATTGGGGACTACAGAGGAGGCCAATGCTGGCCTAAAACAGAATGGTGGCAACGAGAAAGGAAAAGGGAACACATATAAGAGACATTAGCAGTAGAACCTGAAAACTAGATATGGAAGGAAGAGGGATAAAAACACAAATATGATCTACTCTGTGACAAGATATCTCTAATACCAAATACTCTAATGACATACTTGGCTAAGTGCCAGAGAGGTTTCCTGTCTTGCTTCACGGTGCAGAATCACAAGTAGACTCCCACAGCTTCCTTGCTCCTATACTGTTAATTATCCTTGAAGGAGAGGTTATTGCTATGGGAGTTGAGCTACGCTTTGTAGAAAACAGGTTAAAAATAGAAAAATCACTTATTAAAAAAAGAAAAAAGAAACCACCCCAATCTCAATTGGTACAGCTGCTATTAAATTTTCAAATTTTATTGCAGAAAAAAAATCGCTTTTTAGCTAATGTTGATTTTAAGAAGACATGAGTAACCAACTGTCTAAATCTTAAATTATCAAAGTAATTCTAAAAAATTACCACTTAAAATTTGTATTAATCAAGGAAAACAAGTCAAGGCTTAAGAAATCCTAAAAACAAATAGGAAAACTATAGATAAATCCACTGAAACTTTAAATAGATATAGATGATTTTTAACTTATTACTTCTACTCATCAGTATTTTTATGATTTTTCTACAATGAACATATATTACCAGTGTGGAAAATAAATTAATGCTTATTATATACTAGTCATGTAACATCATACTTCTTTAATAAAACTCTTTTGAAATCCTTCTAGCCAGAGTCCTTTTTCAATCAAGTTCTGTCAGTAACATAAGGTAGCATAATATATCCAAAGTAGAACACATGTTCCCCATGTTCCTTTCTGGTCTGTTTAAATGCAGGCTCTGATATTTTCTAGTTACATAATCTTGGCCAAATTACTTAATTTCTCTAAGCTCTAGTTTTCTCAACTACGAAATGAGAATGAAAACAATCTATACCACAGAGGTTGTTTAAAATTCTATGAGAATGTAGGTAAAAGTGCAGGGCCTAAACAAAAATAAACCCTCAATAAATAATTTGCCTAATGTCTCAGAGCCAAGAAAAGCAACGTACAATAATGCAGAAGACACTGTCTCATGAAGAGTTTTCAGCAGTAAAGTTTAATGTGGGTGGGAAATGTCCAAGCTATAGACAGTGGAACCTCAGGCTTCAATGTAGAAAAATACTGGCCTTCAAAAAACCCAGGTGATACACTGTAGTATTACAAATGTCCTTATAGAAAGTATTAAATAGGGGCTCTCCTGGGTGGCTCAGTCGTTAAGCATCTGCCTTCGGCTCAGGTCATGATCCCAGGGTCCTGGGATCGAGCCCTGCATCGGGCTCCCTGCTCGGCGGGAAGCCTGCTTCTCCCTCTCCCACTCCCCCTGCTTGTGTTCCCTCTCTCGCTGTGATTCTCTCTGTCAAATAAATAAATAAAATCTTAAAAAAAAAAAAGTATTAAATAGCATACCTCATGATTGATGACAGTCCAGCCACAAGATGAATCACTGTCACTGGAATTTTCAGACATTTTTCAGGTCTACAAATACAAAAACATGTTGTCATGTTGGGTACATTTTTAAAAAATTCTACAGGAAGCACTATATGTGCCCAAGTATGAAACATAGCTTACTGCCTACCTTCCAGGTAGAAACTGAGACAACCCACCCATAGATTTATCATGTAGGACATATAACTGCATACCTGTACGAACAAACACAACCAAACTTTTAAGACATCCTCCTGAGCTAGAATAGTACAGACAGTCATACTGTAGGAATAAAGCTGAGTCTGAAAGAAAATGTAGGATATGGCCAAGCAGAACTGAAGGGAAAGGAGAAGCCAATTTGACTGTGTGGATAAATCAAGGGTTGAGAGATGAAATAGGGGAATGGAAGAGCTCCTGGGCCAAGCAAAATGAAGTCTACTGTGTTGGCAACATGAAGCAATTGAGATTTTTCAAGCAGGGAAGAAACATGATCACAGTTTTTATGAAAATAACGGTGTCAGCAATAAATACTTCACCTGAATTAAAATAGGGGGAAGAAGACCAGAGATGGTTAGAAACTTGTGGTCATTGACAATAACCTAAACTTAAGTCCTAAACCAGCACATATACTACTGGTCACTCTACCTGGTTTGTTTTCCCCTTTGTATCTGAAACTCCTATTTAAACTTCAAAACCAAGCTAATTAAATGGTATCTTGGGGCACCTGGGTGGCTCAGTTGGTTAAGCGACTGCCTTCGGCTCAGGTCATGATCCTGGAGTCCCGGGATCGAGTCCCGCATCGGGCTCCCTGCTCGGCAGGGGGTCTGCTTCCCCCTCTACCCTCTTCCCTCTCGTGCTCTCTGTCTCTCATTCTCTCTCTCAAATAAATAAATAAAATCTTTAAATGGTATCTTACTGGCTTTGTTCTATACATTTAAGTCCTATAAATGCTTCTATTATTGTACATACACTGAGAACACATAAATCCAACTTGATGGTTGGTGTTCTAACAGAAAGTTCTACTGCAGACAATATGGAACCAGTGTTCAAATTAGAACAAGGCAAAAAATATTGGTCTAAATCTTCCATTAGTGATTCCAGAAAAATTAACGTTTTAAAAGGAGAAGATGCTGGGGCACCTGGGTGGCTGTCGGTTAAACATCAGGCTCTTGATTTTGGCTCCAGTCACGATCTCAGGGTCATGAGATCGAGCCCCACATTGGGCTCCATGCTGGGCATGGAGCCTGCTTAAGATTCTTTCTCTCCTTCGCCCCTACTCCCCCCTTAAAAATAATAATTAAAATGAGAAGATGCTTGGTCACTAACGATATAAAAATTAGCATGTTTTCAAACAAATTATTCAAAATCTAAAAAAAGATATAAAGATGATTGTATGACTTTTACTGTCATGCTAGAGCATTTTCCAATAAGTTCACCTGAAGTCACTCAATTACTTGATTTAGTACTTATAACTGATTAGGGCCCATGCAGTTTATAACTATAAATTTAAAAGTAAACTATTACAGTGCAATGCCTTCTTTCCAGTAGATTACCCCAAAGGCTATAGTCTGCATATCCTGTAGGGAGGGTATTAACCAGTTTTTATGCCTCAGTAATTTTATTTCAGCATTCCTTATTAAGTTAACTATATAACTCCCAATTCCTCATTGAACCAG